AAAAAAAAAGAAGCGCACAGTAATACCAAAACAAGCACACAAACTGCTATGAAATTAGGCGCAAACAAGCAACCAGTACAACAACCCGATAAGCAACTCTTCCACCCAGTCAGGGCTTCCCACTTGCATTTATTGCTCCCCTTTCAATGACGACGACGACGACGACGACAGCGGTGGCAATGAGATGGCGACTGCTGTTGCGGCCGCCAGCACGCGCATGTCTCGCCTCTTGATACTGCCCGACTGAATAACTGGCGGCAACCCACTCATGCTTACCAACAAACAAGCAAGCAACCTAATAGCCAGCTTGTCACATTTAAAATTCCTTTGTTCAATCGCTTCCACATAGTTAACAGCCATGGTTCTGTATCATTTCTTTTTCATTTTATTATGTTGCGCTTCGTTAATTTGATATTTGTTAAAGTTCTTAAGATAATACTTATAATATGTACTAATAAAAAAGTTTTATATTTATACGAGATATTTGATTTTAATTATGGTACTCACCTTTCTCATTTGCACACACGTTCAACTGCTCATCGTCGCGTGAGACTTGTGTGATTATTGATGTTGCATCCATTTAAGCATAAATTTTTTACTTAACTTTCGGTAGGCAAAAATACAGATTTGCCTGCCGCCGGTTTTTGTGTGTTTAACAACAAAAACAAAAACAAAATTAGCAAACAAAATTAAATTTCAACAGAAATGAAATGAAAAAGGCGATTATTACGTTATGATTAACACACTCGTTTCTTATTGGGAATAATTATTTTTGTTTATGCTCTTTAAACTTCGTTTCACTTTTCGGTTCTTGCTGCTAAGCGCGTGTTTTCGTTTAAAAATAAACTTATGTATTTACTTTTTACTTTTCAGTGTTAAAAAAAGACGTTTGGTTTAATGCAAAGTGGCGTAATATTTTTTTTTCCTTTTTTTAGAAAATCACTATGCAAACAAATTTTTTGGGTTTATGTCGTGATCACTAAAATACTGGTGATTGTGTAAAATTATACTTAATCCACTTTATTATTGCAGTTAATTTCTAAGGAACCACAGCAAACGAGAGAACACAAAGAAAACCTGAAATTGAAAGTAAGAATATTATT